GCAGATATTTTCATAGGGAGTTCTATAAGCCAAGTGCTCAAGATGTTCTTCTGTACAAGTCGTCCCCACTGGTGCAAGTGCTTCACGTAGATAAGGCCTTATCGAACGTGAATAAATGACCAGTGTGTGTCCTGTGTTGTGCATTATCAATCTTTTCTGCAGAGATGCTTTGATAAAGGTATTAAAGTACCTTTCACTGCTTTCTTATTCATGTGAATCTGTCAGTAATGAGTCCAGCTGAAAAATAAGGAAATGTGATACATTGCTGGCTTTGAATACTTCTACCAGGAAATTCAAAATGAGGAGAGTCACCAGCCACTGCACTCAATCCCAATTATGAAGAATTACCTCTAGCTACTGCGAAATTTATTTTAAATGAGAATATAATCCCGTGCTCGTGTGAGTTTGTCTTTTGGCACTGCAGCTCTGGTCTGGTTTTATAAGTAACCAAAAAGCAAAATTCTGGTTTACATTTGAGGTTTGCTTTTTGGAGGTGCTGACTTTTTACTTTTTTTCTCCTCCCTCTCCTTTCCTCTCCCACAGTAAAAACTGACAGCTTCATGCTGCTGTGCATTGCTGATAGCAACTGTGATTCATCTCATTCTCACTGTTCCAATGCTGCAAAAATTCCTCTTTGTGCAAAATCGGCCACCGGTGGTTTTTGCTTCCATGGTCAGCAAGGAAGCGCAGAGAGCAAACTTGTTAGCCCAGAGTTCTCCAGCTGAATGCTGAAGTTAGGCCAGCTTTTAACGAGGCATTTACGTAGGATTTACTAGTCAGTAGAGATTTGTGCTTCAGATAAAAGTTTATATCTAGCATCTGTTGTAAACTGGTGGTCTCCTTTTCAGCTTTTCTATAAACCGCAGGAGTCCGAGCCTGCCTCTTTCCCAGATCCGTGACAAGTCCTTTGCTGCGAGGAGCACGGCACTCGTCTCCTCTTTCGTCCAAGCACAGCGTCTCCTGGCATGTAGTCCTGCAAGTCTCTTTCGCCGCTGCCCAAATGCGAGTTTGGGGCCTTTCCTGCAGCCTTCCCCGTATGAGGCTCTGGTCTCTGGGCATTTCCTCACCGCAGATGTACGTGACAGCCCTGCTTGTCGGCGCGCAGCCTGCACGCTTTTTAGCCGGTGTTTATCTCTGTCACTCCTGTGTCTGTCTGTAGTATCTGCTTGGGTCCTGTGCTGCTCTTCCTGCACATCAGCGTGGAGGGCAAGGTCTGCTATTACGCAGGGAGGCACCTATAGCTGCCACCCACCCATCAGCTGATGTGCTGGCGTGTTGGTATGCGAGGCACTGCCTGGTTTCCTTTGCCCGATTGTTGCTAAAAATGTGAAGTTCTGCCTTGCAGGACATGAAGCTTTCCTTGAATTCTGGAAGGCCACATCTGAACAAGCCCAAAATCATGTCCAAAAGGAGAAGAAATGCAGTCAGATTTGGGAAAGGGGTTATCTTGTAAGTGTAACCCGGTTAGTAATCATTCTAACAAGTTACTCGGGTGTCTTTGTGAAACAGCATGATTTTTTAGTGTGGTATATAAGCATAGTAGTTGGGCTGTAAGTTTTTTGGAAAGCCAGACAAATGACCTATTCCAGAGAAGGCTACATCCTGTGACTTGGCTGCTCTCATCTGCAGGATATGTGAAAGCATGTGACTCTTCTCTTTATTTCTTTTTTCTTGATCATCAGGTCATATGATGCTGTTCTAGGTTTTTAGGAGATGGCTGTATTGCTCTGGTTTCATTTTGGGTGTGAGGTTGATAATTCATGTGGGTTCCTTTATTTTTAATTTCAGTGTTTGAGCAGTGTATTATATTCTCTTCTGGAAAAGTACTCTACTTTCACAAACAAGACAGACTGAGTTATTAATTAAACCAAGTAGATGAAAGTGAATGAATGTTGTTTTTCTCATGCTTGTTTAAGGCTTTATTTAGAGAAGTAGGAAATTTGCAAAGTTGTGTGTGAAGTAAAGAATAAATAAGGAAGAGAATCTACTGCGGGTGGTCAACCTAATCCAAAATAATCAGAAATAGCAGGTTAATGATCTGCATGGTCTCAGCTGTGTACATTTGGCACACTTGGGGAAATATTCATACTGTCCAGAAACAAGTGGGTGTTCTGCTCTGGGGGAAAGCTTTGGGGCAGCCTAAGGGCCCGGCTGTACTGTGAGTTTTCGGGGAGGAGCTAAGGGTGTTTTGTAGGTTGCCTTTGCCCTGCTGTGCATCCCTGGGCCCTTCTGAGCCTGCTGAGGAGCCTTTCTGGAGCCGCTGCACGGAGCGCACGGCTGACCCGGGGCAGCTCGGCGCCCGCCGCAACGAGCAGCTCTGCCCCGAGGCCCTGTCTGCGTGGGCCGTGGCTGCCTGCACCCAGGCCCTCTGCTTCCTGAGGCGGGTGAGCACGTCTGGGGCTCTGGGATGGGTTCAGGTGCAAGCTTTCAGCAGTCAACCATGCTGGTGCGCCTGGCCCGTGTTGCTAACGAGTTTGTCTGGAGAGCTGTGTTGAAGCAGTGTAAAACTGAGCCTGTTATGTTTCATAAGCATCTGACGTATATTGAGGCCTTGCTTTCAACCGGTTTCTCATGCCGGTTTTTCTGTTCACATGCGCTCCCTGAGAAAACAGCCCCTGGTTCCTCAGGGGAAACACGTACGTGTGGTGTGTCCAGGTGGGCTCTTGCACCTAGGTGGGAGAGCTCCAGTTCTTTTGGCCTTCTTTCTTTGGCCACGGTTCGGTACCAGTGCACTGGAGGAAGACGTGACAACACGTGTAACGAACTGGTTCCTCCACGTGGATCTTCTCAGTGTGTCCTCTTCACCAACTGTTTCCTAAAACTGCTCTAAACTGTTGAGCAGAGGTATCCATAAACATTTGGGCCTGACTACATCACCTCCTGACTTGGAGTCCTTTTGTGTGTCTGGCTTAGGTGAGGATTGATTGGCCTTCTCCTCCATGAGCTCTCAAATGCTCAGATACTCGTTGGAATCAGGTAATGATGCAGGTTGCAGATAGCAGCTTTCTGCTATCAGGAGCAAGTGCAGCTGTTTTATGTGGAACAATGACAACTTGCTCATGTCAAGGTTAAATTCCAGTTTGTTTGCTGGTCTTGATTCTGACTCAGATTGTGAGCTGTATTTGAAGTGATTGTTTGTTTTTCATTCAGACGCTTTTACGTGTGAAGACGACTGTCTTTTGAAACCTTCATGAAGAATATGGAGCCCTTCAACTGTTCAGTTGATCCCCAACTAAATTGGAATAAGTTATTAATTAGTTCACAGTTTTTTGATGTGTTTGATATCCACTGGAAACCCGTTGCAGATCAGTACGCAGGCTCACTCCTTGAGTGCTGCCCAAAATAGGGATGAGAACCCATTTTGCAGACTTGGTCTCCAGTAGTGAGTGATCTGTGCTGCTGCTTGGACTACTCTCTCCAGGCCTTTCCACACAAGACTTACCGCTATTTTTATTCCCTTTGGGATGATGAGGGAAATAGCCACAGTCATTTCTGCAAACTCCTCTGATGCCTTTATGGTCACTTTGAGTTCCTGAAAGTAATATTTTAAAATATTATTAGATTTTTGTGGTTTTAAGTAGAGATATTTTCTATTATGTGATAACCCTGAAGAGGATTTTAAAGTGTTAGGTTACCTCTTCTGGGTTAAAATTGCATGCTTCTATACAAGCTTAACCTTTATATAAGGAATGCAATTCAGAAGACTGCTGTTCACGGAAATGGCTCGCTTGCCACATCTACTTGTTGCTTTCAGTGTAATAGGTGGAGTGTGGGGCTGTGGGGGTTTGTTGTATGAAAGCTGAGGCAATTGGAAAAAGATGCCATTAGTATTTGAATTGGTAACTGAATACTTGGAGAAAAACCTCTTCTATTCAAAACACGCAGTGGCCCCCAGCTCCAGGGAACTGATCTGTTGCTCAGCCCGTTCTCAAGTTCTTTGCTGATGCATCTTGGCATTTAACTTGCTTAAAAATCCTTTCCTGTGTTGAAGTAAAATTGCAAAGTCTACTGACACTCAAACTTTGGTTTTGCTTTTAGCCTTGGTGGGAGGTGGAAGAAAGAGGAAACAGTTGATGGTCTCTGAGTTGTAAGCAGATGAGCAGTTGCTGCAGTGGGGCTGCTCTTGAGGTCTTTGGAGTGTTGCCTTTGCCACCCATCTCTGCTTTCTGCTTCTTTTACAAAGACTTGAGTGGCTCGGTGACTATCTTGAAGTTTGAGTCCCCTCAAATAATAACACAATGAGACAAAGACTAGCTAGCATGGAAACAGGATGAACTGAAGCTGCCTGCCAAAGAGAAGACTGCAGAAATCTGGGAGATGGGAAGAGAGGAACCGCAGGGAAGTGTTCTGGGAAAGCCTGAGTCAGCTCTGTGTTGTAGAAGCCCAGGGGGAATGACTCGTGGACCACAGTGAAGATAATGAAGACAGAAAGCCAAAATAGCTATTAAATTTGAACAAAAAGCAGGCAAGTATTAGATTGCTGTGGCTTCCACCCATGCAGCACTGTGCAGCTGGGCTCTGTGCAGTTATGTTTTGTTTAAAATAATGACTCTTCACTTTCTAGTTTGAATAAACTGAGTATGGGTTCATTTTCACAGTATTTTTTGTGGAAAAATGTTTTTTAGTGTGTTACCAGTGCTTTTTCTCCGTCCAATACCTGAATTAGTTTACATATTTGTGTTTAGCAGCAACAAGTCTTAGCTAATTATATGTTGCAAGTAAAATTAAAAGCAGACAAATTTAGGAAGGGCAAGAGGAAATGTTAACAAGTGCCTTCTTGCTTCAGTGTTACAGGAACTAGGAGTGCCCTGGGTTTCGTCTGTTGCTCCAGCAAAGCCCTCTTAGTCATGTTTGTCGGCTCCGTGGGTCCTGCTCTGCTCTCCTGCCTCTCCGCAGGGCAGCGCCCGCCGGGAGGGTGTTTCGCTGTGGGGCAGGACCCCTGGCGTTCCCTTTGCCTGCTGGTTTGTCAGCTGGCTTCTGGGCTCTCTGGCGGCAGCGCCATGGGACTGAACCTCTCCTGCCTTGTGGCCTCCGTGCCCGGTGTTGGCCCCCCGCAGGGCTCAGGTGTCCTGTTCATGAGCGTTCCTGCCGACTGAGGAGGCTGCTCTAGTGGAGCGGGTTGAAAGGGCCTTGAAGTTTAATTACAGGAATTTAGGACTAGGCAATTTAATTGGCTTTTTCATAGCTTGTTCTCCCTTCCCTCCTTCCCCCATGTGGATCCCATACCACAAGCAGTAAGTCATAATGGGCATTTATTTAAAGAAGGGGGATTAATTTATTATTTTCAAGGTGTTTTCTCTGTTTTCCTCACGGGACACTGTTGCAGTTCAAGTGGCTGCAGCGACCTGGTTCAGGGACAGCACGGCGACTACCCCCAAGCCACTCGGGCCATCCGCTAGGTGACACCCACA